AAGGTGTCTATCATAGAAAAGGATGTTGTAAAGAAAATTAATTTCTTACTGGAAAAATTCGATGATCGGTTATGTGATGGGGAAAAGGCCTTATTACCATCGATTTAAAGTTTTTGTTGAAAAATGGTGGGCCAAGAAGGTGACAGTTGTTTACTTAAAAGATAACTTCTTCATTGTTCGTTTTGATTCTGAAGAAAAGGTCATGCAAACGTTATCTAGGATTCTTACGTTCAAAGGCAGGCCGATTACAGTTAAACAATTGGATAAGAATGTCAATCTATCTAAGGAAGTTTTGGATTCAGTTTTGGTTTGGCTACGAATGCATAATCTCCTTGTACATTGCCATAATGAATAATCGGTGTCCAAAGTCTGTTCAAACTTCTCGAAACCTATCTATATGGATAATCCAGATTTATATAGAGATAAGGGTGATTATGTCCGAGTCATGGTAGAAGTGGGGGTCAAAGCGGTATTACCTGAGTCAATTGTGGTAGATATCCACGACTGTGACTGCTTCATTGATCTGGAATATGAATGGAAACCAAAGCTATGTGGCTTATGTAACAAAGTTGATCATTTGGATGACAGATGCCCTTTAAAGGTTCTACAGACAAAGCCTAAAGAGGGTGTGGATAAGTGGGTTGTGAAGAACAAGGGCAAACTCATTGTTGTGGATGAAGTGCTTGATGAAATGCCAGCAAAAGCATAGGCGTCAGCATCTCTTGAACCTGTGCAGGTTTCTAATTTTTTTACTGCTCTATCAGAAAAGGAAGATACTAATAATGTGGAAACGGTGGTGGTGGGTCAAACTACACCTTAGGTAGAGGAGTTAGTGGTGACTCCCTCAAAGAGTCAAGAGAATATAGATATAGTTGAGGTGCAAGAAACTAAAGAGGTGGTTGCAGATGAGATTACAAGTGATGCTGAGATATATTCTCCAGTGGGATTGGATATTGATTCTTCTATTGCTAGAACTGATTCACTTGAGGAACAAGATAAGATGCAAGATACTACAATTGATAGAGATGAGAAGATTGTTATCAATGATTAGACTGTTTTAAGTTCTGATAGGGAAACTAAGTTGATACATAAGGAAGATAAAAGCAAGATACCAAAAAAGCCTGGGATTAGTGTTTCAGCTAGGATAACTAGAAGCCAAGTAGGGCTCCTACCCCATACTACATCCTCTTCTCAATGATTGGGGCTTGGAATGTGAGAGGCTTAAATAAGCTTAGAAGACAGAGATAGGTGCGGGGATGGATTTTGAATAATGCCTCTTAACTAGTTTGTCTCTTAGAAACTAGAGTGAAAATTGATAAATTTGACCTTATTTCCAACAAAATTAGGAATAATTGGTATTGGATTACAAATTATGATTCTCATTTTGGGGGTCGGATTTGGATAGGATGGAATCCTATTATGTTTTCTGTGGCTGTGGTGGATAGTAAGGATCAATGTATGCTTCTTAAAGTTACTGCTCATCATACTAGGGATGTGTTCTATTGCACACCTGTTTATACTGCAAATCAGAGGAAGGATAGATTAAAGTTATGGGAATATATCACTTTATATGCTGCTATGGTTCAAGGTCCTTAGATTTCTTTAGGGGACTGGAATGCAATAAGGTTTCATGGAGATAAAATAGGAGGTGGGAGAGTAACTCAAAAAGCCTTGGATGAATTTAATGAGTGCCTACAAAATGCTAATCTTTTGGAATTACCTCCTACAAATGGGGAATGGTCTTGGTGTAATAGGCAGAGGGTGAGAAGAAGGATTTAAGTAAAGCTTGATAGGGTTTTTCTGAATGATATATGGTTAGATAAGTTCCCTGGAACAAAATTTTCTTACACTATGGCAAAAACTTCAAACTATTATGGAGTAATGGTTTAGGTTTCAAGTAATTTTGATTCGGGGCCAAAACCATTCAAGATGCTCAAACTGTGGTGTGTAAAGAGTGAAGTTTTACCTTTAGTTTAACAGGCTTGGGACATGGCTGTAAAGGGTTCACCAATGCACATACTTTTACATAAACTTTGAAATGTGAAAAAAGCCCTTATGGAATGGAATAAGAATGTGTTTGGAGATGTGGGTGATAAAATTATTAAGACTAGACTGAGATTGGAAATAGTTTAGGACTGTCTTCTTAAGGATCCTTCTGATGTGTTACTTGATGAAGAGCAACAGGCTAGAAAAGATTATGAACCTGCTCTTGTTAATCAAGAAATCTTGGTGGCTCAGAAAGTTAGACTTGCTTGGCTAAGAGATAATGATGGATGTACATCTTACTTTCACTAAAAACTGAAACAACACAGATACTTCAATGCTATTACCAAGATTGAGAATGAGGAAGGGGAGTTTTCAAGGGATCTAAAGGTGATTAGTGGTTGGTTTGTGGACTACTATAAAGAACTATTCTTCATACATACTACTGAAGTTGTGGGTGATGTAATGCCTAGGCATATCTTGAATTCTACTGTGGATAAAGAAGTTATTGCAACTGTTCAACACTTTTTTGAATTCAAGAATATGCCTATTAGGGTTAGTTCTTCCTTCATTACAATGATTCCAAAGGTGGGGGATGCTGCTAAATTGGGAGATTTTAGGCCAATAACACTCTGCAACTTGGTTTATTAGATTATTACCAAAATTATGGCAAATAGATTGGCAGTGGTTTTACAAAAGTTGGTTAGATTAGAGCAATATGCCTTTGTGCAGGGAAGAAAAATCCGAGAGGCAGTTATCATGGCTCATGAATTGGTGAGGGACTTCAACAAGCCCAGAAATCTTGCTATGGATTTAAAGATTGATATTAGGAAATCTTATGATTTAGTTTCTTGGGAAGTTTTATTGATAGCTCTAAAGAAGTATGGTTTTGGGGAGAGTTGGATAAGATTAATTGAAGCAATTTTTCAATCCTCAAGGTACTCTATTTTGTTGAATGACTCACCTGAAGGATTCTTTCATCTAGATAGAGGATTAAGATAGGATGTCCATTATCTCCTTTGTTATTCACATTAGTTTCTGAAATATTCTCTACATTGGTGAATGAAGTAGTTCAAAGAAAAGATCTGGTGGTGTTAAAATCTGTAGCAAAGTTTCAGAACCCTATAAGCCATATATTCTTTGCAGATGACCTTATTTTGGCTTGTGAAGCTTCAATCCATAATGCAACTGTCCTTAAAGGTATTTTTAGAAGATTTGAAGATATTACAGAGCTTCAAATTAACTAAGGGAAGAGTAGAGTGTTATTCTCTAAAGCTGTGAGAAGAAAACAAGTGTTGTTACCGGTCCTGAAATGTGCAGAAGATGTTTTTCCCATTAAATAGCCTCTGCGTCCACATGGTTTAAAGAAATCTTAGTGCAAGGACCTGGTGGATAAAATTTCTAATAAGATTGTTTGCTAGAATACCAAGCTCCTCTCTTTATCAGGTAGACTGGAATTGATTCGAGTTGTGATTACTCCCATTTTTCAATAATGGGGTAGTATATATGATATCCCAGTGGCAACTATCAATCAAATTAAGAAGAAATGTAGAGATTTTCTATGGGGAAGTACCGACCATGTGAAGAAGATGCATCTTCTCAAAAGGGACAATGTTACCAAACCAAAAGCTAAAGGGGGTTTAGGGATTAGAAAGCTCTCTGATCTGCAAATGCCTATTAGATGTGTGTTAGCCTGGGACTATTTAAATAGCGTAGACAAATTGTGGATCTCTTGGTTTAAGTTCAAGTATGCTCCAAATGCTAATTACTGGAATGTTATTGCCCGACAGACTAGTTCCCCTATATGGAAATCAATGGTTGTTGTTAGGGATGTGATGCAGCAGAATATTCAGTTTCAAATTGGAAATGGATAACAAACTAATTTGTTCAAGGATCCTTGGTGTAATGGACAGTTGTTTGGTGCTGTGTTTGGCCACAGAGTGGCTAGAAGTATGCAACTCCATAGAGATTCTAAGGTCAGCTCACTTCTTTTAAATGAAAATTGGAATTTTCAGATTCTGCAAAATAAGATCCAAGAGTTTTTGCAGAGTGTGGGTTTTAAAGGTGTGGAGGATCTTTTGTTGTCGGATAAAGGGAAGTTTTCTTTCAAATCTGCATGGAATATTATTCGACATACTGATATAGAGGTGGAATGGTTTAAATTGTGTTGGGGGAAGGCTCGGCCAGATGGTCCACTACAGTTGCTCTGGTGTTATTGGATAGATTACCTACAATGCGTAATTTGCAAAGAAGACAGGTATGTCTGGTTGCTAGATGTACTCTATGTCAAGCTAATTTGGATTTGATAGATCATGTTTTTGTTACTTGTCAGTTTTCTCAAAGCTACTGGAGATGGTTGGAAGTGATATTAGGTTGGGATATCAGCAAGCTTCAGGGAATTGTAACAGTTTAGGACTTGTGTAATTGGATGAACACATTGTATAAAAATTCAAAGCAGTTGCAGAGTCTTTTTGCTTCAAGCCTATGGTACATCTGGAGGGAAAGAAATTATAGACTTTATGGTTCCAATAGCTTAACTTCTAAGGTGGTGGCAAGGACTGCCTTCTTGGAAGTTTGTGATGTTCAGAGAATTAATTTTAATGATGTTATTTTGTAATCTCTGTTTTGTATAGTGCTTTTGTACTGAAAATGGGCTTATTTATTAAAGCACAGGCCTTTTCAGTTCAGTTCTCCGAGGGTATGCCCTTTGTGCTCCAGTATTAATGTTGATTTTTTGAGCTCAATACAACACTAATTATGAAAAAAATAAAATATAGGCCACTTAAAAGTCACTACAGGGACTGCATAGGATTCTCACTGCAGAGGATTTGCGCCCGTACCTCCTACCATACTGGGTTATAAAAGAGATTAGATTCCAAACCCATGACCGAGACAAAAAAAAAAATGGGGAAATCCAGATGCGAGTGGACCGAAACAAAATTTAGGAAACAACTTCACACGCCACGGAAATGCACAAACGCATATATAGAAATATGAAAGAGGGAGAAGAGATAAACCTGCATAATAAGCCACATAGACGACATGATGTTGCTTGAGAGCATGATTAGAGCACCTTTTATCCAATCTGATCTGGAAATATGGTTTATTGATGCGTTTGGAGCTCCCTTTTGGGTGCCTGAATAAAGAGGTGGTCCCTTATAAAGTATTAACACTATAGCCCCAGAAAGAACCATCATAGTACCCAACACTTTGGCCCTTCCATGCCATTGCCTTATAGAAACGCTCTCCATCCTGAAATATTCAAATCTTGCAGACTTTATGTTGTAACTTAAATAAAGAAAAAGTTGATTTTATTTTTTTCCTTAATATTGGATTATTGATATGTTATTTTTCACTCCTCTCTCTTTTTTTTTTTTTTTTTTTTTTTTTTTGGCCTTTACCTCAAGAAAACAGCCAAGATAAATGTAATGGCTGGAACCGTGTTTCTGCTGGCAGAAGCGTATGTTGCAGTGGTGTATCTCAAAGCGAAAGCAAAGAGATTAAAAGCAAGAGTGAATCTGAAATTGTGAAAATAATAGTTGTTGTATTAGCTTACTAAACAATCATTAAAGTTGCCCCAATGTAAATCATGAGAAATGAAAGGGAGTGGCATACCCAACTAAAGCAGCAAAGAAAATTTTACAGAGTAAGTTGTATAATAGAGGGGCTGCGTTGTTACTGCACATTAGGAAGAAAAAAACAAGTAGTTAACGAAATATATCGTAAATAACACACGCACAGTAGAGTTTATTAGAATTGTTGGTGCAACCTTTCGAGGAAAAAAGCGAATGGCGCTAACACAATCGTGGCGATAAATTGCCCGTAAACAACAAACACATAAGAATTCATTCCTTTATCAATTGCAGCCTTGGAGAACAAGGCCAGGCCTGCATGCATACATTGTGAAAGGATAATTCCAATATAAGCCTTATTTCTCTCTACAAAACTTGGAAAGCCAAGTGAACAATTCATGTTGCTCTATCTTAATTAATTTGGCTTCTTTCAAGGGTCTTTTTAGATAATCAGATCCTCCTTAATAACAAGTAGGGAAGCTACGAAACTAGCTAGCACTCAAAATTACACTATCAGATATGCCTTTTGTTTCAATCTTCAGATGTCAAAGTGGGTTTTGACATGGATTCTCTAATAAGATTATTGACATAAGAAGTTGAACTAATAAGATTTTTTTCTTTAAAAAAAATGGCCATGTTAATTATATATCATCTCTTCCCACTAGGCTTCAACTAATAAAATCTGAATCTAAAACGAGGATATATAAAAAAGCATATACTCCCTACTATATATCATGAGCACTAAGGCACTTTTCATAATGTCAGAATCCACTAATTGAAGTGCTTGCTGTTTGTAGAATAAGATGACTGGTTAGCATTTTTTATTGGATGACACATTAGAAATCACCTTTTGTGATTCCTCATTATACAAATATTTCAAACATATAAGTCCGAGGAGTTTTTTTTATATATATATATTATAATATTATCCTATCGTCAATTTGATTATGTTAGAAAAGCACTAAGATTGTTTTTTTAGTTAAAAGGCAAGCATAAAGCACTAAGATTGTTGAGTAGATATCAACTGATATAGTTAGGCCCGGGGATACATCTTATGATTACTTTTCTTGATCTCATTAAGCTTATTGACATCTATCTTATGCTGCAATTAATCAGATAATGTTGTTGGGTACTTCTTGTTAAAGTTATACTACAAGAAAAATAATTTTTTATCACGGTAAGAAATGTTTTTGGTTTTGAATTGTAGTGGTAGCGGCTGTAGTGGTAAATTAACGACTTTCTTCCACGGTTTTACTCTGTGATAGAAAGTGAGTTTTCTACGACGGTGTTGGACCGTGGTATCAGTACTACTACAATATAGCCTTGCAAGGATCTAACATACCCTAAATAAATAAATAAATAGTATCATAACCAAAATAACTTACAATGGCCAATAACATTATTTATATAACCAATTCCAAATCAAGGTTTTATACAAAAATTAATCATATACAAATTTCAAAGAAGTACATGATCCACACCTTATTCTTTACTTAACCAAAATAAAACAAAAATTCTTCATATCTTCTTGCTCTGTTTTAGTCTCTCTCTTCCATGCAACTTCTTCATGACCCATATACAGTGGTAAGATAATATATAGCGGAAATAAAAAAAAGTAACGGCAACCGCAATCCCAAATAACCATCCTAGCTATGACCTACAAAGATGCAATTGTTGAAGTATGAGAATGTAAAACAAGTTGTAAACTAACCAAAATTAAACCAAGATAGGAGCCTCAACATTGTCCACTTGAATATATATTGTAGTTCTAAAAATTGATTAAAGTAACTTGATATTTGGACTCGAGGAAAGTGTAAGTTTAATTGTTACAAACTTGCAAATTAAGAGATTCATCCTAAAAAAAAAAAAATCTCTTAAATTTTTATTAACATATCTTTTTTCTCTCCCCCACTCCTATCATGTTTATTGAAAACATAAAATTCACCACATAATCCACTCCTATCATGTTGTTAAACGGCCCCTCTTCTTGTATCAGCCTTGAGTACTCCAAAGGGTGGCGACCTTTGGCTGATGGTTGAAGTTTTGGTGGGTTCCCATAAGAGGTTTTGCAGGACTTTAGGTTTAATTTGGAAGAGGTAGAGCCAGCTACGCAGTACTTTGCGCAAAAGAATTTGTTGGGAAAGGGCAACTTTTCAAGCATATTATTGTTTGAATACATCAAGTTCCTCCATGAACAAGTCAGTGTAAGTTCCATATATATATATATATATATATATATATATATATATATATATATATATATGTATATAATGACCTTTCTATTAGAATACTTTCTTCTGACATAATATATCTCATTTAATCGATGTGGGACCAAACTCCAACCACAACAATTTCCCGACCTCTATTTATACACAATAATAATAATAAAATGGTCACTTAAGGCACGTGAACCCCTATACACTGCAAAATTAGTCACTTAAAGGCACGTGACCCCCTCAAGCATAAGTAAAAAGCATTAAAAATGTGCAATCATAAAAGAATATTATCGAACATAAAGACCATATAACTTACAAATTTTGATGTACTTGATAGGCCATGCAATTGAAGCTGCTTTAACAAATGCCTCTTTCAAGTCAAAGCAACAAATTTTAGGCCTATATAAGGGCACACTGAAATCAATGACTTCAGTGATCTACACTTTCCAACATTCGGAACCAAGTAGAGCAGAACCTTTGAGAGACTTTAAATTCGTTGAATAAATCTCACCCTTGGCGCCAACTGATTCTGTCCCATCAAATTACAATAACTCAACACTCTTGCCATCAAAATCTTCAGAAGGTGAGACTTGAGGTGAAGCAATGGGAGAGGACTGGTTGTTAGCGTTCGGTCCAAAGCATAACAATGGAAAAAAAAAACAGTACATAATGCTTCTCATAATTAGTGTTATAATTAGAGAGATTGTGATATATACATATATTTTGGAGAGATTGTAAAAAATATATATTTCGTATTGGCTAATTTCGTTGTCAAAACAAGTCCGATCGAGCTGTAATTTTTTTGTTTAAAATTTCAAGATTGAAGATCGGATGCGGGTTTGAAGAAGTTCAAATGTTTATACTTTAATACACTCCGGGATGATGAGAACAATGCTTTAGAAAGGTATGTGAGTGTGTGAGAACACTTAGGAAGTTTTAAAAGTTTAAAATTTTGTGGAAGCTTACATTCTGCGTATTTCGAACTGGTAGCCAAATCAAGGAACATGTAGCCAAATAGACGGATTCTATTATGTCCATTGGGAATCGGTAGCCAAATCTAGTACCGGTAGCCAACTGTTCTTCACGAAGGATTCTTCATTGTCCTTTGGGAACCGGTAGCCAATCTCTCTACCGATTCAAGGCTTTTGATCATAAATGGTTACTTTAGTTTCCTGATCCGTTTTGATTCCTTTTTGGTCTAGACTTCCTTCCAAAAACCTATGCAAGAATTTCACTTGTTTTACAAGTATTATTAGGTCTTCCAAACTTCTATATATTCCTCTTTCATTCAACAATGAGGTATGGTTTAAGGAAACAAAAATTCATTATTTTGAAAAAGCCTTTAGAGAGATATTTTTCAGAAAATCAAATCTAATTTATTTTATTTTATTTTTGAGAGCACACATATGTATTTATGAGTAATTTAATAGTATTGTTCTCTATCACATCGAAATTGGAGCTTAATTGAAGATTTAGAGATTTCAAAAGAACATATTAAAAGAGCAGATTTATTTCTTCTACATTAAAGTTTAGATCTTGAAGATGAGGGGTGAAGTGATCAAACTTTGAAAGGGTCAAAGCATTCGAATAATGTTGTTTGATATACCAGTAATCCTTCTACAGAGATCAAGAGTAAACTTGAGGTCAAGAGCTGTTGGACAGGACATCATAAAGAAGATTGTCAATAATTGGTGTTTGGTAGAATGATAAGGTGTGAGCCTGAATAAAAGTCCATTATACTTTCTTTCAAACATAGTGGATCGGTTTACTTTGGATTGTATAGTCCACAAGGTTTTTGCCACAACAATTGGTTTATTATACCAACTGGGGTGTCCTTGCTAAAATCCTAGTGTCTTCTCTCTAACTCTACTTGTTTTACTTTTCAGTATTTATCTTTGTGATTGTGGATGTTTAATTGATCATATTACTTTGGTAATTTAATCAATCACAAAAATTGGGCAAGTTAACCTAATAATCTCATCTAAGTCATTAAAGAAGTTAATCACAATTAAATCAACTAATAGCTTCCGCACCATGTAACTCACATTTGGTATCAGAGCGGGTTACTCGATATATTGAGTATATCATACTTGTTGATTTGTTATGATTTTTGCATCATGTCTGATAATTCATCTTCTATTGCTGTATTGCCTTTACCTCCTATTTTTTATTCTATCACAAGCATGCATATTGAATATTCTATGTTTAAATAGGATTTCAAAAATTTGTTAGAAAATTTGAAACTTGTGGAACTTGATAGAGATATTTATAAGTTAGAAGTTTCTGTCTCTAATAAAAATTTGGAAGAAATTGGCCATAAAAATTTAAATCTTCTTCATAAGGTTGATTTTCTGGAAAAGGAACTTGAAAAGGTAAATATGTTTAATAAATCATTTGAACTTAAAATTGATAATTTTAGTAGTGAGTTTGTTAAATCAAAAACAGTTTTTATAGAAATTGACACTGATACTTGCAAAATTGACAAGTTGAAAGGAATAGTTAAGAATATTAGTAATTACAAAGAGTTGGCTTTAACTTTAAAGGATTTGTATTTTACAAAATCTAAAGAGATTTTTATGAAAGTTGGTGGGTTGAGATATGTTTACCAATAATAATCAACATTTGTAATAGCACAAGTCATTGTAAAATAGGGCTATCATAAGGGTAAGTCGAACCACAAGAACTACAAGTTTACGGCAACCAAGGTTTTAAAATCACTTTGTTTGATGGAAGAGGTGTAAAAGGTTTGTTTTGCTTGTCACTTAGAACTAGGAAATGAAATTTGCATAAAACGGTAAATGGAAGGAATTTAAGATGAGAGGAACTTATGTAGAGAGAACTAGGGAAGTGAATCCACCACCGACCATATAAATATGCTTGCTTGCGATTAACTTGGGGACCAACTTATATGTATGACCATGATATGTACCAATACATGATTGCTACATTATCTTCAAGAAATTCATAAAATTAAGAAGTAAGTATAATCCATTAAAGTTTTACATGCTTGAACTACCTAAACTAGGGTGTAGCTTATGACATGCTCACTAAGGTAGGGACTATCAAACTCCTCAATCAATGTGATAATAGCACATGAAGTCAAAAACCAAGAATAATCTATCAAAGGGAGGCCTTAAGCTATGGATTATCAAACTTTCAATACATCATGCCATTAAAAGCCTTTTCATAATCTCATCTCCATTTTCACTATGAAGATGTTAGCAATATAATCATGAGAAAATACAATTTAAGACAAGATAATGCATTCAACACAATC